TTCCTGCTGTCCTCTGGCAGACTGGGTCCCACAGAGCCGCTTTGCTGATGGGGGTTGAGCAAAGCGATACTGGACTGAGCTGGAATCCCCAGCTGGCCTGCAGGCAGCCAGGTGCTTCCACAGAGAAGATTCTTCAACACTTGGGATGGTCCACAGTAACGCCACAGCAGAGATGAGGGCGACTTGCATACTGTGGTAGAGACTGAGAGACTAGAGGGCATAAACGCAGTGAAAATAGTTTTGGATGCTAGAGACTGTGGAAGGAGGGCGGGAGAGGGGAAGAATGTAGGAAGGGAAATTAGGGGGGAAAATAGAGAAGTAAGACATTCGTGGGACACAGAAATGGTTTATTACCTGTGGATGATGACATGTATAGTATTCTCACCTGGACTGGTCTGAGGTGTTTTTCCTGTTGGGTAAATTCTCTCTACCAGCTAAATAATGTATAGCGATTGAATGTATAAAATAGTAATGATAAAATAAAGAAGGGGGAGAAAGACATGAGGGATGACATGTTCATTCATTCGGTTCCTATTTATATTTCTGTCATCCTTTCCCAAAGGCGGGGTCCTGGGTCTCGTAGGGTCCTCGTATGTAGTGGCTGTGTTACTCCCTTTCCACCAACATGTGGACACACTCCCTTGCCTGCATGGGATACCAGAGAGGCTGGTGCCAGTCAAGGCCGGTGCCAGGGCTTGAGGGCACTAAAGGGTGAACCCCACACTCCCTGGTGGGTTTGAGTGTGAGGTGTGAATGAGGTGAAGGGGCTCCTGCTTGGTGCTTGGGCATTAGATTGGGCCTCAAATTAGTCTAGGCCATGTAGGCACTTGGGTCTTAGCATCTCAGCTTCCTGAAGTAACTTTGGGGAGCCAGATCTGGACAGCTCATATGGTTAATGACATTCCTTCTCAATCCCGACTGTAGGTGACCCTGCACCCCCATCGCTCTGCAGCAGCTGGGGGCAGGCACTTCGGCTCTTGGTCTCAGTGCTTATATGCTTGCCGGTTTAGCAAAGCCCTCTTTTGATCAAAATCTCAGACAAGTGAGGGTCAGGTGTGCTTTCAGTTGAAGCTCATTTCTGCTTGCTTCACCTTTTTGTAGCAGAGTCTTAGGCCAGAGTCCACATGTGCCCCAGGGCCATGAAGTGGAGCTGGGACACTCCATTCAGCCTGGACCTGCCCTAAGCTTGACCACTGGGCCACATCTGACTGCTGGCCCCATGGGCTGAGTGGGCCCATGCCCGGGGGGTCAGGGATGTTCCTACTGAGTAAAACCATGTACGTCCACCCGCCTGAGCACCCGCACCGTCCGCAGACCATGGGCAGATTCTGTGAGCCCCAGGCAAGGCTGCCCTACTTCCTTAGCCTGTGGGCCACTGAATTCTTGGACCTCACCAGTGGCCCACTGAAAGTGAGCCACTAAGCCTGGGAGCTGGAATCTCTCTCTGAGGACTGCCCAGCTGTCACCACCCCCTCTCTGAGGACAGCTCAGCTGTCACCACCCCCCCCTCCCCATCCTTCCCCGCCCCTCCCCCATGTGTCCTGATAGCCTTCCCAGGACCTTGCAGAGTTTTAGCACTGGGTCCGTGCATGCTGCCCTAAAAGGCAAGTTATTCCAGGCATGGGGTGAATCTGTTTGCTTACCATTTCTTTACCTCCCACTTCTCTTTCCTGCTATTTTTAATTTTAAAAATTAATTTGCTTTCCAGGAGAATCACTGTTTACGTATTAAGATCCTGGGGGACTGTTATTACTGTGTCTCGGGGCTGCCTGAAGCCAGGGCTGACCACGCCCACTGCTGCGTGGAGATGGGCATGGACATGATCGAGGCCATCTCGTAAGTGCTCACCTCTGGAGGACTGGCCACAGCCCAAGTGACCGGCCACCTGGCTAGGCTGATGCAGGCAGGATAGTCGGGGGAGAGAAGGGGGAGACCATTTCCCAGAGTCCACTCACCCAAGCCAAAGGGTTGATGTGCACCTCCAGACTCGCTTCTCCAGCCTGGCAAGTCTTCCCAGAAGATGCACGTGGGGAGGGAGGGCTTGCAGAACTCAGGCCAGCAGGTGTGCACTCCCCTCCCATGACAGGAGGAACCAGCAGTTGTGGCTCTGCCCTGTGTCCTGTGAGGACCTTGTGTGTTCCCACAAACACCAGCCCCATGTAGAACCTCTTGGCTCCACTTCTTCTTAAAAGGACGGTTTGGCGTCACAGGGCCAATGACGCCCCAGAGTTATGAGTCATTTAGCAGGTGGGTTCAAACACAGGTGTTCCCATGTCGAGACACGTTCTTCCTGTGAGTAGCAGCCAAAGGCTCTTTGGCGGGTTCTGGGTCAGTGCTGGCCATGGAAGGAGCCCTGGTTATTGAATCGAACATGGATCCACAGTGTATTGCAGTCCAGGGAGGTCAGAGATGTGTCCAGGTTCCATAACTTTGGGCTTTAGAGCAGCCTGGGCAGGGGCAGAGGAGGACACAAGCAGCAAGGTCAGAGTGGCAGCCAGGAAGGCAACGCCATTGGTTCTGCCTAGGCCCATTCAGTGGTACTCCCCAAGGGCCCCACGTGCCTGGGCTAGACAGTTGCTCGAGTCTGTTGAGAGCGAGAGGCCGGGACTCCCATTGCCCTGAGAGCAGGCATGTTGTGTGGACACTGCCTGGTAAGGGAAGGCAAACTACTGGAGGAGGCCCAGAGGCATAGCTGACCGCACTGGGGGGTCGAGAGCATTTTCAAGAAGGAGGTGGAGATACGCCAGAGGCACAGGATGGGACAGCATCAGTCCAACAGGTGGAAGGGCATTGTGGATGAGAGGACCGCTCAGCAGAGGCACTTGCCCGGTTAGCCCGGGATGGGAGGGATGAGGGATGGCATTGCTCTTCCCTGCAGTGCCTGTCTGCCTCTCTGAGGGGGCAAGGTGAGTGCTGGCCATGCCCACCAGCCAAGGCAGGCTGTATCCCCGCAGTGGCTGAGCGAGCTCATAGCCAGGGTCAGGGAGAGTCCAGGTCCCTAAAAAGTGCAGGCTGTATACATCCACCCACTCCCCCACACCCAGGCACCCTCTTCTGCAGACCATGGACAGGTGGTTGGGAGCCCCAGACACATGCTTGGAGGTGTACAGCCTTCTTCCCTGTCTAGCTCCCCCCACTCCCCAGCGTGAGAGGTTATAAGTAAGCACAGAGGAGAGGGCCAGCCTGTCTGCTGGGGACGCTGGGCACACCATGCACGTGGCGGGGACTAGAGCCATCCTCTAGGGCAGGGAGCACCCCTAGTCCCTGCACTGTGCAGACGCCCCTTCTCTGTCCAGCAGCCTTGCCTGCTCCATCCCCAAGTTGGTGTGTAGGGGGGGGTGGGTAGTCAGCAGGAGCCATAGCTGACTTTCCAGCAGGCGGGAGCGGTGCAGGGGTTCTGGGCAGCCTGACGCTCTCTCCCGAGCAGCACGTGTGTCCTCCCTGATCCTGCTAATGTGAGGGAAGCAGCAATGTGGATGAATACAATAAACAATCATCCCAAAGCCATTTCTGTCTCGCAAGAGTAGCATATGCCTGGGTTTGGAGTGGCCATTGCTTCCCTGCTGGGTGCACGTCCACACAAAAATGCATTTCTTTTTCCCTGAACACAGTCTGACTGTGGACAGTGAAGGCCAGAGGACCCTCATAGAGGGGAGGCCTCCGCCCCGCTTGTGATGTGAGGTGCCACGCCACCTTGTGGCCAAGCCATGAAACTGCACCTGAGCACCAACCCCTGCCCCAGCACCAGCAGCTGGCCCCAGTCACCTTCAGGTTGGGCTGTCGCCACTCTGCTGGGCTGGACTGGAGAGAAATGCCTCTTTACCCCTGCACCTCCTGATGCCCCCACCCTCCAGCCTCACCCCGCTGTGTGTCTGGCCCCTGACCCTCTCCCAGCCTTACCCTGCTCCATCCCCAGGTTGGTCCGGGAGGTGACAGGGGTGAACGTGAACATGCGCGTGGGAATTCACAGCGGGCGAGTACACTGCGGTGTCCTTGGTCTCAGGAAGTGGCAGTTCGACGTCTGGTCTAACGACGTCACACTGGCCAACCACATGGAGGCCGGCGGCAAAGCAGGGTGAGTGAGGGTCATGGGTGGCACAGGGCCCAGACCTCGCTTCCCACTTGAACCCGCTTCCCACTTGAGCCCGCACAGGGTCCTGGGGAGATGGGGCTGGGTGGGCAGGACCAGGTGGCAGGGATCTTGGGGGCTGGGCGGACAGGACCAGGTGGCGGGGATCTCGGGGTGGGGGGGCTGAGTGGACAGGACCAAGCAGCAGGGATCTTGGGGGCTGGGTGAGCAGGACAAGGGGGCAGGCATCTCGGGCTGGGTGAGCAGGACAAGGGGGCAGGCATCTCAGGGACTGGGTGAGCAGGACAAGGGGGCAGGCATCTCAGGGGCTGGGCAGGCAGGACCAGGCGGCAGGCATCTTGAGGGCCACTCACAGCACACCAGAGCGAGCTGTGGGGACTGTCATCTCCACCTCACTGGGTCTTCACCCAGGAGATGCCTATACAAAAGGAAGTGGCTGGAGAGGGATGAGAGGCAAAGCAGAGTTCTAGAAGAGAGGGGTGCCTCGGCTATAGCCAGGGTAGCCAGGACACAGGGTGGCAAAAGGAGAGCCAGCCTGGACAGCTGGGTGGGATCAGGATAGGCGAGGAGGGGAGCTGTGGGCGGAAGACCCAGGGGTGGGATGCATCACATTCCAGGACTGGAAGCAGAGCAGCCGGGCTTCTGGGGCCACTAGGAGCACCACACCTATGTTAAGAAGCGTTGCAAGGTGGGGATTCGGACTCATCCATGGTCAGCAGGAGCCATAGCTGGCTTCCAAGCAGGTGGGAGCTGAGCTGTGTGCAGGGTCATGACGCTGAAGCCAGGTTCTGGGCAGCCTGATGTCCCATCGAGCTAAGAGGTCGGGTGTGAGATCGTAGCTTGCTACAGGCAGGGGTGGGGAGGAGGCCGACGGGGGCCACCTTGGTAATGAGGGAGGGATACAGTATGAGGTTGGGGTTCACATTTGAGCCAGAGTTGGGGCCTTGGGATTTGGAGTGTGATTGAATCCGGGTCTCAGGCTGGTTCCGTGTGGGAGCTGGAGGTCTGAGTTCTCATTTGCCCTCCCACCTGCAGACGCATCCACATCACCAAGGCCACACTCAACTACCTGAACGGCGACTACGAGGTGGAGCCCGGCTGCGGGGGTGAGCGCAACGCCTACCTCAAGGAGCACAGCATTGAGACCTTCCTCATCCTGCGCTGCACCCAGAAGCGGGTGTGTGGGCAGGGGGCTGGGGGGCTTAGGGGCCAGGGGGCCAGGGGACTGAGAGGCTCCAGTCTTTTGGGGAGGAGCATTTTCCACTACCACTTCCTTCTCTTCCTTGAGTAAAGCCATGAGTTCCTTATGGGCTTGTGGTTCTTGCATCTTAGCAAGGACATGGGAGTTAGAGAGGCCTTGCAAGGACTGATGGTGCAGAGGGAGTATTTTGTATGTGGGGTGCATGTGCGTGCCTGCCCCAAATCCAGACAGGACGGAGACAAGGAGAGGGAATTGCAGCGTGACCATGCTCCATCGGGAGGTGCTTTCTCTCTTCCTGTCTCTGTTTGGTGAGCGCACACCTTCTGGCTATTGCAGAAGTAAACAAAACAAAAAGGGATGTTTTCGTTTCACTTCTGTTGCAAAAATGCTGCATCCTCAAATTGATTAGCAGCAGCGTATCAAAAGGCCCCAAGCAGAGGTGAAGTACCAAGGGAGCCTGCGTGCCACATGTTTTACCCCTCCTCTCTCTTACTAGTGTGTGTGTGTGTGTGTGTGTATATCTCTGTAAATAATCTGCTTGTACCTGTATATCTGTTTCTCGGACCTCTGTGTTTTCCCATTTCACTTTCTAGTGTCTTCTTCTTCCTTTGTCTCATCCCACACTTGCCAAAGTTTAAAACTGAATTATTAGCAGCCTTCAGTGTTCTATTTTTAATAGTGTCATGTTCCATGTTCTTAATTTTTAAAGCGAACAAAGAGCCCATTTTATCTCTCTCCCTAAATTAAACTGCCTTTTACGCCTGAGTCTTCCCACTGAATGTGTCTGTCGGTCAGTGCCTTGTAGTAGAGAAAAGCTTCCGCCTTTTTTGTCCTAAGAAGTTAGACTCCAGACAACACTGTGAGCCAAGTTCAGTGGTAGATGACAGCAAAAGTGAGTCTTTAAAGAGAGGCAGGGCTGTTCGGGCAGGTGCCCACCCCCAGAGCAGCGTCGGAGGGCACTCCATCCTGCACACCCCAGGGGTGAGTCCTGGCTGCAGGGTTCTGGGCAGAAGCTGCGTCAGACTCCTCTGCGGACACTGGTAAGGACAGGAGGATGCAGGGCCTTTGGGGAGAGCACCTCGTGGCTGGAATGGCACCGTCATTGTAAACGCTCGCTCCTTATCTGGCTAAAGTGTAAATGAACTGAGGCCCTGCCTGGCCCTGTTCCCGCATCCCTCCTTTTGGTCCCTGATTCACAAGGCTCCGGCCCGCCTTCTTGCCCTGAGTTCTCTGGGTCTGGGTTCCTCCAGCTTGACAGGTGGTCCAGAAAGGATGAAGGATGAAATGCAAACAGACAGAGAGAGTGATAGTGCCCCCACCCCAGCAGTGTTCACTGAGCTGGCTGAGTGCTCCCCGACCTGTCTGCTGAGGGAGGGAGTCGGGGGGCCACCCCTGGGCCTCTCAGCCTCCATCTCTTGTGCACATTTAGATGGACAGACTGGGAAGCGGGGAGCTGCTGGCCTGCTGGAGCTCTCCGAGTCTCTGCATTGGTCCGCCGTGCCAGCGCTTGGGCCTCAGCCTTTCAGTGGCCCAGACCTGTGCGGAAGCTGCCTTCTGGGCAGCAGGGGCCTGTCCTCCCACCCTCTCTGCTCCAAGCAGCCTGTTTTGGAGAAGTCGAGTGGGGTAGAAGTAGGTCTCCTGTTCCTCTGTCACCCTTGGCATCTTCAGACCCAACTCTGCCTACCCTTGAACTCTGGGTGGAGCTTTCCCTGCTCTGAGCCCCCATGTCCCAGTGACCACAGCCTGCGAGGGGCCAAGTTGGGGGGGTTGGGAGTGAGCTGCCTGCTGTCCAGGAGACCAGAGGGGAGGCTTAGCCCCTGGGGTGGGAGAGAAGAGGAGCACATGCCAGCAGCCAGGGCCGTCAGCCTAGGCCACTGGGGAAGGAGGACATGAGTGAGCATCAGTTTTAAGAGGCCCGGCGTGGAATCCGTGGTCAGACTCGCTGGGAGAATTTGTTTAAACGAAAGGGCAGAAGTTCCTAGGTCCTTTGCTTTCTCAGAGGCCAGCTCCCATCACCCGCTGCTGTTCCCAGCAGGGCCGACTAGGGCTGGCAGAGAGTTCCAAGGGCTGGGGGGAGCTCTAGCAGCTTGGCGGCCCTCTGGGCTGCAGGGTTGTGCAGAGCAGAGAGGGCAGCTGCCTTAGCCGGTTCCCAGGACCACGTGCCCTGATGGAGCGAGAGCGACCGCTCGGGCTCTCCAAACGGCCCCGCCCACAGGCTGACATGTCTCTGCCACTATCCCAGAAAGAAGAGAAGGCCATGATCGCCAAGATGAACCGCCAGAGGACCAACTCCATTGGGCACAACCCACCACCCTGGGGCGCCGAGCGCCCCTTCTACAACCACCTGGGCGGCAACCAGGTGTCAAAGGAGATGAAGCGCATGGTGAGTGGCGGTGGGTGTGTGGGCCGTGGGGCTCAGGGCCGGGCCAGGCCCCTTGGGCTGACAGTGGGGATCTGAGAGCCACAGGAGGAAATGAAGCTGGATTCACCCCCACTTTGGACTAGGGACCAAAGCGCCTGACTGCTGGACCTGGGCGCTCTCTGGCTTTGGGGCAGAGCAGTGACGCTTTTCCTTCCCGTCCTTTGGGCGGAGGGTGCTGGTGCAGGCTGGAACGGCCCCTCCAGCTAGACTGAGTCCAGGCAGAGCCTCCGGCCATCTCCTGTGTCTGGTGAAGCTCCGGGGCGCTGAGTGGGCCCAGCTTGCCAGAGCCCCTTCCAGCACCCACTGCCTCCCCAGGCCATCGACACCCTATCTTTTGGCTTGGTTGCTCAGAAAAATCACAGTGCTTTCTGGCAAGTTCCAGGGGATGGTCCCCTTTGCCCTGCGTGCTGAGAAACACCCCCTGCTAGCACCAGCCTGTCAGTGGGAGCAGGTAGGCCACGGTGGGTGTCACCTCACCTCAGCGGACCCTTCCTGCCTCGGGGTGGACGCCCCCGCTACACATGCCAGGGACAGGTTCAGGATGTGCTGTCTGAGCTCTGCAGCGGGGAGGGGAGGGTGGGGAGAAGGGGAAGGAGGGCAGAAGCCAAGTGAGCGGTGGCCTCTGCTGCCTGGACACCCTGCTCCGCTCAAGGGCACCTGGTTCCCAGGTGGAAACGGCATGCACTGAGGGCTGCTGAGGAGGGGCGGTGCCAGGATGTGTGCGGCCGCCTCTGAATAAGGTCGGTCGTGCTGGTACCAGGATCTCCACGTTGGGGTCTGCAGATCAGACTAAGTTCAAGCGGCAGCAGAAGAGATTCGAGACAGGCCCCGTGGGAACCCAGCCGAGGCAGCAGACAGACCCAGCACTGCTCCTGGCTCGCCAGCACACACAGGTGTCACAGACTTAAGGAATCCGCACAGGAGCAAAGGGCCTTGAGTCAGCTCTGGTAAAGCTGCGGCTCCGGGCACCCTCGTGTTCTGAGGGAGCAGAGTGGGGGAAGTCTATCCTTGCCCAGGGCTTGGCCTGGGACCGCCACAGACCTGGTCAGTGCCTCCAAGGGCCCTGCCACCACTGTCCCTCCCCAAAGCAAAGCACAGTGGGCCGACCCTTCCTGTCATCGCCATGGCCCTTTACCCATCTGCTGTAGACTCAGTACCCCCATGACAGGATGGGGGAAGAACGACAGCAGGACAAACAGAGGGAGCTCTCATCCAGGAGGAAGGGGAGAGAAGAGTGAGGGAGCAGGACAGAAGGAAAGAGGGAAAAAAGGATGAGAGGGAGGAGGAGACGCTGGAGAGTAGGGGAGACGGAGAAGGGGAAGGAGAGGGGGGCAACCTCAGGCTTAGTGGTATGTGCTGCTAAGACTCTGTACTCCACAGCCTGGGACCACATGGGGGGCGTGGGTTCGATTCCTGGTCCAACCTAGAGGCTGGGTGCAGAGGCATGCGGCTGTAATCCCAGTGACTCAGGGAGGCCGAGGCAAGAGGGTCACGAACTCAAGGCTGGCCATAGCAACGAGGGAGACCCTGTCTAAAAAGGAGATGGCCTTGGTGGTGCACCCCGCAGGGAGGCTGAGGCAGGAGGAATGCAATCGTGAGGTCCTAAATGGGAAAGAGAGAGAGAGAGAGAAGGAGCAAGGAGGAAAAGGCTGGGGGTAATTTGCTTTCTCTGTTTAAAACCCTCGGAGTTATCTTTCAGTGCTGTGTGGTGTGAGCTGCATGCATCGCTAGTTATTTTGGAGTCTTAACGGAGGAAGTTTGGGCTAGACGTGCCGGTTTGCTGGCTTTGAATCATTGTTAGGGCAGGAACACTGGACGGATGAGCAGTAGGGGCTGTGCCCAGGGAAGGGACAGTCTGGGAAGCCGGAGGCTGGGGAAGGTTCCTCTGAGGGGTTACTGGCTTTGCCCACGGAGCAAGGAGAGTGTGGGAACAGGGTGCACTGGCTCTGCAGCAGCCTCTGGGAGAAGAGGACCCCACTCTGGCTGGGTGCTGCGTCCCCAGGGGCTGATACCAAAGCGCAGCCACCTTCCCCACCGGTGTCTGAAGGCTTGGGATGCTGTGCAGGTCGTGGGCATTGGTGTGAAACTTGCCCGAGATCTTGAGAACGATAGGCAAAAAGAGCTTCTACCCAACTTGCCAGCACTCCGTGAGTTAAAAAAGAAAAAAACAGTCCACTGAAGACGGGTCGGTAGGAATTGCATGAAGTGGTGACAGAGAGTTGGAGAGGTGCTAACTCTACAGTTGTTTTCTTTTCGATCTTTTCCCAGATTTTACCTCGGCATCAAATGTAGTGGGGGCCGCGCCGGCTTCTGCTTAGGCTCGAGTGTGACAAGGTCGTCACGGGGATTTAGTAACGAAAGGCTGGCAGTGGAAGCATTGGGCTGGGGCTCCCCCAGGCACACACAGGACGGGGCGTGTCCATGGGAGGTGGGAGTGCTAGCAGGCTGGAAGAGGTCAAGGGTCATTGACCAGTAAGCAGATGGTGGGATTCAGCCCAGTCTTCTGGACCATGTGGCTGATAGCCCAACTCTAGTTTAGGGACCAAGGCATTTTGTCACCTGTTACCCATCACCACCCTGACCTGCCACTGCGCTCACCACAGCAACACACCGTCCATGTGGTTAGAACAGACCTGGCCTCCTGCTCAGCATAGGAGAAAGAAGGGCCCCAGCCCCAGCCGGCAGGTGACCAAGGGAGCATCGGGAAGGTCAGACACAGGCTTACTACACCCAGTTCAGGCTGTTTTTGAGCCACAGACCAGCATACGTGTGATGCAGCTCGCTTGTTCTCAGTTCCGTAGGAAAATCCAGCACTCTGCTGCCTGGCAGGTCCTGAGAGCCTCAGGCTGGGCCTGCAGCCCGAAGGGAGCGCTCCCTTGAGTCATACCCTCCCCTCGGGCTGAGGGCCAGATGGTGAAGTGGGACCGGTTTGCAGCCTGGTGATTCTCAGAGGACCAGGAGACGTTTCAGCTTGCCTGGGTGGGCGACTGCCAGGCCATCCTGGGCTGGGTACAGCCTAGGAGGAGCTCAGAGCCCCCAACTGGTCACTGGGATGTGCCCCTAGAGGCTGCAGAGGCTGCTGGGAGCCCTCAGCTGGGAGGGAGAAGAGAGACAGCTCCTGGAGGGTGAGTGGCCCCATGTCTGGTTCAGCACCTGGCAGCCTGGCTTCTGGAGAAGGGCCCTCTCTCTGTTTTTCCAAACCATATCCTCAGTGGGGATGGAGAGGTGTGTTCATGTGGGTTACTGGGTAGACCAGCAGCAGATGCCGAAGTCCCTTGTCCAGCAGAGGTCTCCAAGCTGGCCACAGGGACAAGCGGTGGTCTTCTTTCCTCATCCTGGTCACCGGAGTGTTTTCTCCAACCACGCATCCTGGGCTGCTCACTGCCTCCTCCATGATTCCGCCTCCTCCCACCGTAGGGAACGCTCCATTCAGCCACAGCTGGTCCAACCCTGCTGTGTGCTGCTCCTTCTGTGGAATCTGTAGATTAACCCGACAGGACTCTGAACTGAACTCCCAGAAGGGGCCCTGTGGAATGAACGGCAGGTATCTGACCTCCTGAGTCCCTCACCGACTCTGGCCTTGCAAGAATACCAAAAAGTTGCTAGGAGCTAGAGTTTGTTTGAAGTGTGACATCTGTGAACTCTCGCACATTTGAAGAGTGTGCTCTGTGAGGGGGGTGAGTGTGCAGGGGTGTGTGTGCAGGGTCTGAGCCGCTCAGCCCTTCTTCCTGCCATCTGAGTAAGTGGCAGAATTGCCAGGGGATGCTCTGAGCCCAGGGCCCAGGAGGAGGGGGAGAGGCTCCGGAACTGCGGGAGGAGCTGAGTGCAGGGCCAGGAAGAGCGCAGGCGTGTGAATTTTGCCTGAGGATAGAACGAAGTCTCTGTGCCTCCCTCGCATCCCACGCAGACCCTGTCCCTGAGAGCCACGTGAAGGAAGGTCGAAAAAAAGCACTGAGCCACGATCCGTCTGGCCACACCATTCCGGAGGCTGTCTCGAGGGAGGGAGGTGCAGCCTTCTCACAGCCTCTGTTTTCAGTTCTCCCTCTTCTCATAGTCCTCCTTCTCTCTCTCTCTTTAGGGTTTTGAAGACCCCAAGGACAAGTGAGTAATATGCCTTCCGTATTTCCCCTCCCTCGGCTGGCCTTGTCGTCTAGTTTCCCATGCGCCATAGAAAACGATCCCACACAGTCTTTGCTGACAGTCGGTGAAGCCCACCTTAGCTGGCAGGTGGTCAGCAGCGCCCTCCATAGCGGCCAGGACACCCAGGAGCCCAGACCACCCTGCAGGAGGGCCGGGCCTCTGCACTGCCCATCATATCTCCAACACACACACATGCGCACTCACACACAATCACACATGCATGCGTGCACACACATAACACACACATGCCCATGCACACACGCATGCATGTGGCTCTGTTAGGAGAAGGCACCTGCACCAACCACACCTACCCCTGAGGGAATGCCCTCCCTCCCTCCCCCTCTACATTTCCCAGTTCTCAGGACTGTCAGAAATCCCACCCTAGGACTTCGGGTTTTTAAGTTCAGCACCCAAAGGTCATGAAACCTGCTTTCTCAGAGTGCCCTGAGCCTGCTTCAGGAAACCAGGTGGACTACAGGTCCCAGAGCAGAGATCTCACCTTCATTTCGGGCTAGGAGAATGAGGGTACAGCCAGAGAACAGAGAGCAGAGACCAGTAAGGGGAAACAGTGGGCTTCCAGAGCAATGCACATTGTCTGAGGCTTGGGCAGTTTCCGCATGTCAGTCAGTTTAGGGCTTCTGACCAACCTGTCTCACCCCACCACCCCCACCACCCCACGAGGGCAGATCCGGCCCTCTGCAGCACCCCTGGGGTCAGCTGGTTTTCTGTCTGTTTCCCCGAGGATGAAGTGGATGAGTTTCTGGGCCGGGCCATCGATGCCAGGAGCATTGACAGGCTGCGATCTGAGCACGTCCGCAAATTCCTCCTGACCTTCAGGGAGCCTGACTTAGAGAAGAAGGTACGGCACCCTGTGGGAGGAGGCCTCGGCAGAACCAGGGCTAGGCGCAGGGCTGGGCCTAGGGCTGCCCCCACCTCTGTCTCTAGCAGCAGGGCAAGCGAGTCTTCTTCTTGTTGCTGTTTTCCCCAGCTCTCGCTGCACTACCCAGGGGGCGGTGGGGGTTCTAAAGAGATTTCCTTGGTTCGGGGAACTTTTTTTAAAAGACTTACTTATTTAATTTTATTTATCATTGTTATTATTTTTTAGTATGTGATAGGGCTCGTGTCTCTCTTACCAGAGAGAAAGAGAAAGAGAGAGAGAGAGAGAGAGGGAAAGTGAGAAAGCAAGCTGCCAAGTCCAAGATTTGAACTTCTGTCTCCCATGTGGGGAGTTCAGCGACTTAACCACCACACTGTCTGCTGGCCCCTGGTTGAGGGATTTTAACCTCTCTGTGCATCAGTTTCTTTATATGGAAAACAGAGATATTTAACACACCTACCTCATGGGATCATAATGAGGATGAAATGGTTCATACATGTAAAAACGTGTAAATTATTGGGTTGTCGGAAAAGTCATGACATATTTTTGTATGCAAAAATGCCTCATGATTTTTCTGATGACCCCACATATAAAATGGTAGCTGGCACGTAGTGGGTGCTCAATAAAAGTTGCTGTTGTGGTGTCATTATCATTGTCCGAGAACATCTGGCTGCTCTTGGCACACTAGAAACTAAAACCCTTAAGGTTTTCTGTTTGTTTGTTTGTTTGGAGAGGTTTTCGCTATAGGGCATGTGTGCTCATCAGAAAGACAGAGAGAGAGAGACAGAAAGCGAGAAATCACCCCCCGGGGGGGATGGTCACGCCTCAATCCCTTCTCCTCCATTCTCCTCTCGGGATCTTGGGCACGCACACACACGCGCCCTGTGTGAGTTTTAAGCCACCGGGTCTGGGACACGAACCACAGTTGACTACATGGGAGTCCAGCGACACAGCCATTATGCCAACTGCTGGTCCCAAACTCAAGCCCTTAAGGTTTGAGGGACAATCATGATCTCTCTGCCACCCTAAACTGAGAATGAGAACGCCAAAGCTCTGAGAGGTGGAGTGACCAGACCTAGGCTTCTCAGTGAAGCAGTGATGCAGCCAGAAGCAGACCCTGGTCCAGGTGGTCGCCTTTGCACCCCACCTCGGGGTCTCCCCAGTGTTCAGTTAAAAGGGGCTCATGTGAACTCATGTCTGCCTTGACTGAGGCCAACCTAATTAGTGGAGTGAAACCCAGAAAGGGAAATGGCTGTGTTTACCGCAGCAAAGGGACTGACCCGTGTGCCCCTCCCCTGGGCGACCATGCCAGCGCCAGCCTCTATTTGTGCTCCTGGCTGGTGTCATAGGAGGAGCCGGGGCTGGGAGGTGGGACCTTGGATGTGACTTTGGACAATTCAGGGAACCTCTGGAGCCCCAGCTTGCAGGACTCCGACATGGACATAGCGGCAGTCTGGTGCCCACTTCTCGGGGCTATGGTGAGGATGACAGGGTGCCTGTGGCCCCCTCCCCCCCATGCTCCTTCGCATCCATCTGGTGCCCATAACTTCCAGCCACAATCATTACAAGTCACTCCGATAAGACGTTTCCAGCCTGACGCTGTTGCAAGTCCCCCTCAACTCCCCACGGGCACCTCCTCATGGTGAGGTGGACTGCTATCTTGTACGCCTCGCCTAGCTCTGGTTCTCGCGTGTTCCCTGTCCTGGGAGTGGGCACACCGGTCATCAGCCCGCGGCTGCCCCAGGGGTGTCTGGGGTTGGCCGACCCAGTGCTCCCGCCATCTCACCTGCCCACCTCCTCTCAGTACTCCAAGCAGGTGGATGACCGATTCGGTGCCTACGTGGCGTGTGCCTCGCTCGTCTTCCTCTTCATCTGCTTTGTCCAGATCACCATCGTGCCCCAGTAAGTACCCCGCCCCTTTGGGCTTCGTGCTCTGGCAGCAGGGCTCCCAGGGAGGGAGGGTGTGTCGCTTAGAAGAGCAAAGAAGGGAGTTTGGGCTAAACTGTTGAGGAAGAGAAGTTTCAGATGTGTGCTCAGTGGGGCAAGGAAGCCAGGGCTCTGACCTCCCCAGGTCGGGGGTGATGATGTGCATGTCCCAGGGTGAAATTCTCCCCACTGGGCACTGCTCAACCGCACAGAGGGCTGCTCTGCACTCCTCTCTCATCTTAGCCCATTTATTTAACCCACACCACCACCGCCTGACTGAATCACCCTGAGTCTCCACCAGCTGGTTCCTGTGTGCCCTTTGGTTCTTGCAAAAAAAAAAAAAAAATCAATACATCTTCAAAAGATGAAGGTTTTCCATTACTCTGGATAGTTCAAATAATGGATTTCAGGTTCTGAAGCCTTTTCACAAAGAGGCACTCTGGAACTCTTCTGAGGGCCAACTAGGTGGCAGAGAGCCTGTGGCTTCCGTGGGGACCACTGTGAAGTGGGTAGTGGGCTTTTAGAAATGAAGTGTGTGTTAAATAGTCACTCACATTAGATCATGCCTAGGAGAGAGTCGTGATGCCTTATGTCTCTGTGTGTGCGTGCACGCCATGCACACAAAGGTGTGTGTGCATACGTGTACATACATCGGTGTGTTTCACTTACTAGGCACTCATTCAAACGAACAGAAAAATCAATTCATATAGTCAAGACCCAACACCTAGATACAGCGATCGTTAGTATTTTGTAATACTGTAAAATGTGGGGCCGACAAGTGGCTTGGTGGTTGAGGTGCTGGACTCTCACATGGCAGACCACCATTCAAGTCTGGGACTTGGTGAGTTGCTTTCTCACTTGCCTATTCTCTCTCTCTGTCTCTTTATGGTCAAATTAAAAATAATAAGAAGAAATAAATTAAATGAATAAATATTTTTAAAAATATAAAATTAAAAAAATCATTGTTTTCTGATTTTTCTTTTACTTATTTTCCTTTTTATTTTTATTTTTAATTTTTAGTTTTTGCTATGGGGCCTGTGTCCTCGCCTGAGAAAGAGACACAGAGAGAGAGAGAGTGAGAAATCACCCCCCAAGTGGGGATGGCCATGCCACAATCCCTTCTCTCCAGGTTTTCTGTCAGGATTTTGGGCACACACATGTATGTGCACAGCATAATTTTGAAGCTGCAGGGTCTGAGACTCAAACCATGCAGGCAGCCATGTGGGATCTAGCACCTTAACCTCCATGCCACCTGCTAGGAGCAGGTGACTTTTTAAGCTAAATTTTAGAAATAAGGACATTTGGCCCCGAAAGTGTCATTATACACTTATTTTAAGGACATTTTCCTTTTAAACCACTATACCATACACCAAGCTGACATTAATTCCCTGCCGTCATTTCATTCCCAGCCCATATTCAGATTTCCAGAATTATTCCCCAAAATGTTTTCTACTCCGTGTATTCAGAGCTAGGATCTACTTTGACCCACTAGTTACGTTTGGTTATTTCTCGTAATTCTTGCTTAATCTAAAAATTCCCCACACCCAACACTTGCCATTTTTCTTTTGGAAATGATTGTACTTACGGAAGCAGCACAGAAAGTTTCTCTGTACCTTGTATCCAGTTGCCCCGATGTTGACAGCTTACATGACACAGTACAGTGATGAAAACCAGGAGTGAACATGACCCACACCTCTGGCCTTTAACCCCAACTCCTAAGCCCTAACCCTGGCCCAGGAACTCAACTCTGGAATGATAGCATTAACTAATCCACAGACCTTATTCCTGCAGTGTCAGTTCCCACCCGCCCCCATTCCGGATCCCCCATTGCATCTCGTTATTGTCTCTAGTCTCCTCCAAGCTGTGGTGGTCTCTCGACCCTTGCCTGTCTTTCATTAACTTGGCACTTTTGACGAGTACTGGCCAGTTCGCTTGTAGGATGTTTCAGGTTGAGCATGTCTGACATTTCCGCACGATGAGATTGTGGTTGTGCGTTTTGAGAAGACTCCTGCCGAAGGGACGATGTGTCCCTCTTCTGTATTAGGAAGTGCGTCTTAGGAGGCCTAGTGTGGAAAGGTGCCTCTTACATTGCATCATCTGTGACTGTGTGAGGGCACAGGCAGAAAGCAGACGCTGCCCGCTGGCTCCACCTGGTTATATAGCTCAGCCCGCCGCCTGGTGCACCGAGGCTGTGCAGGGCGGGCGGGGTGTGGGGTTGCCGTCAGGCCTCATTTATCTGTATCGACACAAAGCCACAGGAATCACTCAGCAGTGTAGGCTTAGGTCCCCTTGTACCTCGCAGTCCCCTGAGCGTGAAGGCATAGTCCTGCCTTTTCCTGCTTTTGTCCCTGCAGCGTGGCTTGGGCTGGGGCCTCCTAATCACCTGCCCTGGCTGCAGCTGCAAGTGGCCAAGGCATTGACAGAGGTCAATTCTCTAGCTGCCTCCTCTCCAGGGAGGCTTAAAAGCCATCCTAAGGTCTTTCTTTTTCTTGGATGAGAATTCTTTTCCCTGTTCCATTTGTTGGAGGCAGCTGAATGCTGGCTTCTGTGGAGGCCTGGAACAAAGACGCAGCTTGAATCCTCCCTGGAGGTGTTCACCTGCCTTTTCATGTCCTCCACTGACTTCTAACCAGTTCACAGTGCCTGGCCCCTCCAGGACACTCTTCCTCCCTTGAAAGGCTGCCTGGCGATGTGTTGGGGTGGTGGGAGGTGCTGTTCCTTGGCCAGCCCTGCCCTGGGAGGGCCTGTGGGAGGGTCCAGATGGAGAGTGACTTGCTGCTATTCTGTCTGAGGGCTCCCGCCCGTGGTGGCTGTCTAGCTCACCTGTGATCTGCCTCTGGAAGGCGGGCAGAGGGAGAGCCTGTGTCTTCCTCCTTGAACTGGCAGGGACTAGAGCAGAAATGGGGCAGGATGTTTGTAGTCCTGGCAGTGGGGAGAGGACAGGGTGTGCTCTGCCCTTCTGAGGAGACGTAGCCCGTTTCTCAGAGCGGCTGCCTGGGCTGCTGACAAATGCATTTCAGTAAGTGAAGGCCATTTATCAACTCAGTGTTCAGCCTGCAGTTATTTATCAAGCCCTGAGTGACAGCTTGGAGGGAATTAACCAGCTGATTTTTAAAAATGGGTTCCTCTAAGCTAAAGGGAGCAAATTCTTGGATAACTAAACTGGGCAAAATACTGACCAAGTTTCACCAGCTCTATTCAGCTCCCCTAGGAAGTGAGAGGGTGAAAGGGCGGGAGGCAGGCCACGGGAGGGGCAGGCTGCTGACTCCTCTGCAAGGCCGGTCGGCAGAAAAGATGAGCAGTGGGTTCTAGAAGAGGGGGACTTGAAGGGCCCTGGCTCTCAGGAGCTGAGCAGATGGGCACTGGGGTCCCATGGCCTGCCTGCTGGGCAGCCCACAGCTGGACGGGCCCTCCGTCCCTGCCTTCTCCAGCTCCGTGTTCATGCTGAGTGTCTATCTGACCTGCTTCCTGCTGCTGGCCCTGGTGGTGTCCGTGTCTGTCATCTACTCCTGCGTGAAGGTGAGTCCGGGGGCCCCAAGTCCCAGCTGCCTTCCTTCTGTTCTTCCCACCCCGCTGGCAGGGATCCCTTTCGGGAGCCTGAGCACCGTGCTCGGCACGGAGCCTGCATGGTGCCGGGCCACAGCGCTCGGTTCGCATCACGGCAGGCTGGACTGGAAGCAGGCGTTTGGCAGGGGGAGCCTGATTCCTGCAGGCTCTTTCAGTAGCCCTGGCAAATGCATCTTTGCAACAGAGATGCTGTTGCTGCAGCCTCCGTCCTTCCCCTCTGTGTGAGGTGGGATGAAGGAATGGCACCTAGACAAGCCGGAACAGAGTTGTGGTCAGGAAACACTTGCTGAAGGTGAGTGTGGGAGAGATCTCTCTGGACACCCCTTCACATGCCATGTGCCCCGGAATTTCCCCAGGGACCTCAAGAATTAGGACTTTCAAGCTACCCATCATATTGCTGAGGAGCGAGGCCAGAGTGGCTCCGTGTGTGGACAAGGCCCCAGGCTGGCTGACGCCGGCAGTGTGTCCAGGATCTGAACCTGCGCCCTGCTCTGCGCTTTCCTCCCATGGCTTCTCTGAGGGCCTACGGTGCCCTGCCCAGGCCGTGTCCATTCTGGTCTGCTGGAGAAATCACCCAGGCTCCCGTTGGCCTTGCCAGCCAAGCCTTTGCCCTGCTTCCTTCTCCAGTGGTTTAAGAATTCCCTGCCTGAGGCTGGGGCCAGCAGGTGACATAGTGGCTAAAGCACTGGACTCCCACGTGGCCAACCACAGTTCAAGTCCTGAACCTGGTAGTTTGCCTTTTCCCTCTCTCACTCTGATAAGCTCTTATGTCCTATAGCAAATTAAATAATAAATTAAACAATAAATAATAAAATTAAATCATTCTTTTAAAAAAATAGTCATTGCCTACTAGGGGCAGCCCAGCCCCCAGAATGTATTCTGTCGCTAGGGCAGGTCCGCATTCTCTTCGGCATCTGCTGAGCTTCTCTCTGCTCCTGCCCTTCCCTGATACTGTCTAGGGGCTAAACCCCTGGGGACTGTGGCGACCAGGCTCTGCTCTCACTTCCTCACGCTCTGCAGAGAGGCCACTCTCTCCTTTGAGATGGATTAGACCTAGCTCACCTCAAAGATCCAAACAGGGTCCTTCATTAGTCTGTCACTGCTTGGTCACCTCAGGGTCTTGGTGAGGTCGTCAGAACTGGAAGGGACTGTGGGAATCATCCGGTGTGGCTCAGCCCCTAGCCCCTGGCCCCAGCCAGTATGGAGGTGGACGCCCAGAAGAGGGCCAGGGTTGGCCAGAGTCACTCGGTGACCAAGTGTGTGCCCGGCCAGTGCTGTGATGCCTCACAGGGTTAACTCCGGTTCCCTGCCTGTCCACAGTGCTCCTTCCATGAGCCCACAGCTCCCTCCTGCTCCATTCAGTGCCCTTCTGTCTTCTGGCCTTGCTGCTGCCGAGTGTCCCCACCTCAGCCCGCTTTGTTCCTAGTGGTCAGTTTTACTTTCTCATCCCATGGCTATAGAAGGATACCACAGCTCACAATAGCCAAGGTGGAAACAACCCGAGCATCCATCTACAGGCGAATGGACCGATCAAATATGATATGTAACTGCAGCTGAGTATTATTCAGCCATAAAAAGGAATGCTGCAGGGACCAGCAGTTAGCGTAATGGCTATGTCCCTGAACTCCCACATAGTCAACCATGGTTCGAGCCCCAGACCTGGTGGCTTAAATTCACACCGGGCGCATGTGCGTGCGTGCCCAAGATCCAAAGAGGAGAATGGAGAAGGGGTTGCGGCGTGGCCATCCCCACTGGGGGTGATTTCTCGCTTTCTGTCTCTCTGTCTCTGTCTTTCTGGTGAGCACACGCGCCCTATAGCAAAAACCTCTACAAAAAAAAAATGCTGCAACATGGATGAACCTTAAACATTATGCTAATTGAAAGAAGCCAGACACAGAAGGTCACATATCTGTGATTCCACTACGACAAAATGTCTAGGGACCAGCAGATGGCATAATGGTTACGTTCCTGGACTCGCATGTGGTTGACCATGGTTCGCATCTCAGTCCGGTGGTTTAAACTCATGCCAGGCGCCTGTGCGTGCGTGCATGCCTGCCTAAGATCCTGAGAGGAGAATGAAGGAGAAGGGATTGCGGTGTGGCCATCCCCGCCAGGGGCTGATCTCTCACTTTCTGTCTTTCTGTGTCTCCTGTGGGCGCTTGAGCCCTAAAACAAAAATCTCTTAAAAAAAAAAAAAAAAAAAAAAAAAAAGCAGTCTAGCATAGGCGGAGTCTTAGAGACAGAAAGCAGATTAGCAGTTCCCCGCAGCTGGCAGGGTCATTGCTTCAGAGGCTTAGAGTTCGCGTTTGCAGTGATGAAAGGCTTTTAGAACCACGCAGCAATGCTGGTTGCGCAGCGTTGTGAATGTACAATGCCAAGGGGTGGTGCGCTGCCGAACGCTATGTATTTACATATAGTTACATTCCATTATATATTTTACTACAACAACAAAAAAGTCATAGCCTTAAAAAAGAAATAGTATATGCAAAATGGCCTCGGGAAAGATTTTTTTAAAACATTTATTTATTTTTTTGTCATGATTCTCAAGCCGCCCAGTCCAGGACTGGAGCTGTGGTTGACCATGTGGGAATCCAACACCTTAACACTGTATCTCCTGATGACCCCAAAAGTATTTTTTGATGAATCCCAAAAGTATAGTTCTTTTTAAAATTAAGCTCTTAACTGAGGCGAAGTCCCTCAGGTCCCTGAGTGCAGCCCCTTCCCTGTTCTGCCAGCTCTGGCTGTTCTACCCCGGCCTGAAGTTTCCTCTCTTCGTCCCCAGAAGCAGCCGAGGCCTGGATCTGTCAGTGCCTGCCCATTTGCCGTCACCACCCAGGGTGAAAGAGGGCAGCCTTGCCTTTTCCCACTCTCATCTGGGCTCCTCGTTACTGTGGCTCAGAGCACAGTCCTGTTCAGAGCCCAGACTCTCCTTCCGGTAGTGCAGCTAGGCGTGGTGGGAGTCTGCAGCCACGTGGCTGTGTGTGTGTTGTGTGCATGAAGTCACCTCGTCCTCCAGGTGGCTGGTTCCCTCTTGGTCTATATCCCACCAACCCCCTGGACCCGATGTCTGGGCTCCCGGGCTCTGTGTGCCTACGTAGCCACCCAGAGGACTAACTGTCCTCTCCTGACCCTGACTGCGCTCAGTCTCACTCCCCGCCTCCTGGCCCACAGCGTCAGACCCTGGGTCTTCCTGTGCACCTGGTACCCTCGCCTGCCAGGGGTCTTCTCTTCTGTGAGGACTTCGGGATTCCCGCACTCGGCTTTCCACCACCGTGCTGAGGGCGTGCCTTGTTCATAGGCAGAGGGTGTGCTGCTGCCTGTTCACGGGGGCTGGAGAACTCTTCATTCTGGAGGCATATTGCAGGTTCCTCCCATGGCTTCCCAGCCAGGTGGCCCAACGTCCAGGTCCCAGCCAGCTGTGCCATGTTGAGATGTGCTTCCTGAGCTTCGACAGTGGCTTTCTTAAGATTCATTTTGTACATGAGGAAACTGAAGCTCAGAGAGGTTAGGCAGGTGGGCGGGTAAGGTCTGGGACCTGGGAAGTGGTTACAACTGTGATACAAACCCAGGGGGCCGTCACCTTCAGGGCCCATAGACATCCTCTCCAGGACCCTGCCTTTGCTAATATGTGCAGCTGACCCCTGAAAGTCCCCAGTCTGAGCCTTCCCACTGCCGTACGTGACCTCTGAGGTTCTTATATCCTTTTTCCCCATATTCCCGTACTACTTCTTTTACTATTAGCTCCTTCTACGAGAAGCTGCTTTTTACAACTTTTTGCTGTCCAATTTCATCACCTTCTTTCACCTCTGCAGTGTCTTGGCCCCACATCAGAGATGGGGAACCCAGGCCCCCCAGGGAGTTGATCAATTTGCCTGGAGGCTCAGAAAGGCCAGCATCAAAAGTGCCCTCCGAACCCCACCCCAATCATGGTTTACGAATTTTGTCCGACTCCCATTTTTCGTGTTGCATTGATTTGAATTAGACTGGGCATGTACCTGTTCTGAACGTGTTTTTAATTGGCTCTCTTTTTGAGCTGTGATTATGCACAGGCGGTAAGTAATGCGTCGGTGCCGACAGTGTCCTGCCGTGGGAGACTGTCCAGGGTCTGCCCGTGCTGTGCTGTAGTCCTACCAAGGCTGTCCTCCGGGAGGTTTAAGATCCACACCAGGGTTAGGAAAGTTGGGATTTAAAGTCAACATACAGGTGAACTTTCTGATTACAGGAGAGGAGACACTCTTAACCGATAATAAGGCAGGATGTCAGATCTTCTGGAGACTTCTGTTATAAAAAGCAGCAGTTGCTAGACTCCTAAAAGCCAATAGCAGGACTTTTTTGAGTGAGAGAGATTTTTGTATAGGGCACATGGGGGGATGGCCACTCTGCAGTCCTTTCTCCTCCATTCTCCTCAGGATCTTGGGCATGTATGCACATGTGCTCAGCCTGAGTTTTAAGCTGCTGGGTTAGGGACTCGAACTGCATTCGACTACATGGAAGTCCAGCAACGTAACCATTATGCCAGCCACTGGTCCCTCAGCAGGACTTTTTAAAGGGTGTCAAGGGACGTCAGTTCAGAGCAAGCCAATGCAAAAAGGCCCAGCTAGTCATTAGAAGCTGGAGCCGCATCTAACACCAATTTCAGAGAAACAGACGAAAACCAGCCTGCGATTCCCCGACACTGGACGGCCCTGGTGAAGCTTCTGGCCCCACGTTCACCAGGAAGTCCACGTGCATATCCTGTGCCCCAACCACTCTTTTGGTTTTTAAAGTGCAATTGTCAGAGGGTGTGTGCACTGCCCGAAAGAGAGAGAGGGGGAGAAGGAGGAGACAGCATCCCTTAATGAGACGTGGTTATACTGCAATTCCTTAGCCATTTCTCCACCCTGTCAGGATTTTGGCCATGCGTGCACATGTGTCTGCATGTTTCTCAAGCCCTGAGACTGGGATTTGAACCA